AACCATCCAGATAGTTACAATATTTTGGTTAATTCTTTCTAGAAGAGTAATTGACTAGTTTTCAAGTGGAAAATATAACACATTGATTTCACATGATAATAAAAACTAATAGACGGTTTCTGGAGTTCAAATAATAGAAAATAAGACTGAAAAGGCATTGAGAGCATAAAGACCGTCTAGGCCTCTCAGGTGAAAAAAATGTAATTGAGGCATCAGTTCAGTTCAGTTCAGTCGCTTAGTCGTGTCTGACTCTTTGAGACCCCATGGACTGCAGCACGCCAGGCCTCCCTGTCTATCACCAACTCCCAGAGTTTACTCATTCATGTCCATCTAGTTGGTGATGCCATCCAGCCATCTCATCCTCTGTCATCCCCTTCTCCTCCTGCCCCCAGTCCCTCCCAGCATCAGGGTCTTTTCAAATGAGTCAGTTCTTTGCATCAGGTGGTAAAAGTATTGGAGTATCAGCTTCAGCATCAGTCCTTCCAATGAACACCCAGGACTGACCTCCTTTAGGATGGACTGGTTGGATCTCCTTGCAATCCAAGGGACTCTCAAGAGTCTTCTCCAACACCACAGTTCAAAAGCATCAATTCTTTGGCCCTCAGCTTTCTTTATAGTCCAACTCTCACATCCATACATGACCACTGAAAAAACCATAGCTTTGACTGGACAGACCTTTGTTGGCAAAGTGATGTCTCTGCTTTTTAATATGCTGTCTAGGTTGGTCATAACTGTTCTTCCAAGAGGTAAGTGTCTTTTAATTTCATGGCTACAGTCACGATCTGCAGTGATTTTGGAGCCCCGTAAAATAAAGTCTGTCACTGTTTCCCTATCTATTTGCCATGAAGTGATGGGACTGGATGCCATAATCTTAGTTTTCTGAATGTTGAGCTTTAAACCAACTTTTTCACTCTCCTCTTTCACTTTCATCAAGAGGCTCTTTAGTTCTTCTTCACTTTCTGCCATAAGGGTGGTGTCATCTGCATATCTGAGGTGATTGATATTTCTCCTGGCAATCTTGATTCCAGCTTGTGCTTCATCCAGCCCAGCATTTGTCATGATGTACTCTGCATATAAGTTAAATAAGCAGGGTGACAATATACAGCCTTGACGTACTCCTTTCCCAGTTTGGAAGTCTGTTGTTTCACACCCAGTTCTAACTGTTGATTCGGGCCATGTAAAATTAAGGGGATTGACTTTCACTGTATGCAAGCAGGCCTCCATATGGTAGGATCTTCCTGACTCAGGGATTGAACCTGGGTCTCCTGCATTGCAGGCAGATTATTTTGTCTGAACCACCAGGGAAGCTCTTTTTTTGACAAAACTGTACTGCTAAGGATACTATGATCCCAGTCAAAAATAACTGGTGACTTTGAACCAACTCTTAGGCAACACTTCCCACTTACCTTGTTAGGAAGCAGAATAAAAAAGCAACTTTCCACAGTTCCCTAACTAGGCCAACACTCCTGCATGCTCAGTGAGCAGAGCTGAGTTACAGAGAACAATGAACAGTTGGTTCCTTCAAGGCAACCAATCCAACTCTAAGCAAAGAGCAAAGGAAGTCTTCAAACTGCTTGCTCAGCAGAATTCTGTCTTTGCCATAGATCAGTAACTGCTGCGTGTCACCCATTTTCACTTTCTTGATCTGAAGTTTTTATCGGGCACACCCTGTCTTTGTTCCAGGAATACCCTGCCCCTGCTCTTTCATTGTATATTGACTGATTTGTACTAGGTAGAGATGCAGAAAGTTTGTAATTTTAGTTTGTATGTTGTGACTCCCACAGGGAAAATATATTACCACTTCAAGAAAGATACTATATTACCTAAAGAGCCCAGACTTCAAGCTGGGTTCAGTAACTATCTGGTGCTTTGAATTATTTCCCTTTAAGACAGAAATGAGTGTTGTAATAGATTGAATGTATTTCTTCAAAATTCATGTTTTGATTTTTTTTTTAAGTCACTCAGTCGTGTCCAACTCTTTGTGACCCCATGGACTATACAGTCCATGGAATTCTCCAGGCCAGAATAGTGGAGTAGGTAGCCTTTCCCTTCTCTGGGGGATCATATTTTGATACCTAATTCCAAACAAGATGATATTTGGAGGTAGGACATCTGAGAAATGATTAGGTCATGAAGGCAGAGCCTTCATGAATGAGATTAGTACCCGTATAAAAGAAATAAAGCTCCTTTCCAGTTGAGCTATTTCAAATCCTAAAAGATGATGCTGTGAAAGTGCTGCACTCAATATGTCAGCAAATTTGGAAAACTCAGCAGTGGCCACAGGACTGGAAAAGGTCAGTTTTCATTCCAATATCAAAGAAAGGCAATGCGAAAGAAGGCTCAAACTACTGCACAATTGCACTCACCTCACATGCTAGTAGAGTAATGCTCAAAATTCTCCAAGCCAGGCTTCAACAGTATGAGAACTGTGAACTTCCAGATAGTAAAGCTGGATTTAGAAAAGGCAGAGGAACCAGAGATCAAATTGCCAACATCTGTTGGATCATTGAAAAAGCAAGAGAGTTCCAGAGAAACATCTATTTCTGATTTATTGACTGTGACAAAGCCTTTGACTGTGTGGATCACAATAAACTGTGGAAAATTCTGAAAGAGATGGGAATACCAGACCACCTGACCTGCCTCTTGAGAAACCTGTATGCAGGTCAGGAAGCAACCGTTAGAACTGGACATAGAACAACAGACTGGTTCCAAATTGGGAAAGGAGTAAATCAAGGCTGTATATTGTCACCCTGCTTATTTAATTTATATGCAGAGTACATCATGAGAAATGCTGGATTGGATGAAGCACAAGCTGGAATCAAGATTGCTGGGAGAAATATCAATAACCTTAGATATGCAGATGATACAACCCTTATGGCAGAAAGCGAAGAACTAAAGAGCCTCTTGATGAAAGTGAAAGAGGAGAGTGAAAGAATTGCCTTAGAACTCAACATTCAGAAAACTAAGATCATGGCATCTTGTCCCATCACTTAAGGGCAAATAGATAGGGAAACAATGGAAACAGTGACAGACTTTTTATTCTGGGCTCCAAAATCACTGCAGATGGTGACTGCAGCCATGAAATTAAAAGACACTTACCTCTTGGAGGAAAAGTTAGGACCAACCTATACAGCATATTAAAAGCAGAAATTCTTTGCCAACAAAGGTCCATCTGGTCAAGGCTATGGTTTTCCAGTAGTCATGTATGGATGTGAGAGTTGGACTATAAAGAAAGCTGAGTGCCTTAGAATTGATGCTTTTGAACTGTGGTGTTGGAGAAAACTCTTGAGAGTCCCTTGGACTGCAAGGAGATCCCACCAGTCCAGCTTAAAGGAAATCAGTCCTGAATATTCATTGGAAGGACTGATGTTGAAGCTGAAACTCCAATACTTTTACCACCCGCTCAAAGAACTGACTCATTTGAAAAGACCCTAATGCTGGGAAAGATTGATGTTGGGAGGAGAAGGGGACAAAAGAGGATGAGATGGTTGAATGGCATCATCAGCTCCATGGACATGAGTTTGGGTAAATACCGGGAGTTGGTGATGGACAGGGAGGCCTGGCGTGCTGCAGTCCATGGGGTCGCAAACAGTCGGACATGACGGAGCGACTGAGCTGAACTGAACTGAAAGTTCCTTTGCCCCTTCTGCCACATGAGAACATAGCAAGAAGATGTTCTTATAAGTCTTTCTTGTTTTACTGAGTGAAATAGAATACAAATGAAAGATCAACAAATGAATGCATTGCTTTTCATGGTTTAATTTTTGTTGAAATACGGTAAGTAGTAACAGCAGTTAATGGTTATGTTTACCTATTTAATAAAAGTTTATGAACATTATGATTGCATGGGAAAGATTGATTCTGAATTAATTATTCCTGTGACCATAGTCATTAACTTCTAACAGTTATTGCTATGGTTTTAAAAAGATATAGGTTTTGAGATCCATCCAAGCAATGTGGTTTATCTGGAGCACAATATTTAGCCTTGACACTCACGAGATTGTGGAGGTTGCCTTTACATTGTAGGACGCTAGCAGCACACCTACCTTCTGCCTGTCTATGCCACTAGAACTCCTGTGCCCCTAGTGTGACAATGAAAGTTATTTCCAAATATTGCCAAATGTCCCTGTGACATAAAATCACCCCTGATGGAGAACCTGACATACAACTTCCATCCATTCATTTGTCAAGCGATTTAAAAATGATATTGAATGTTACTCCATGTCTGGCACTATTCTAGCACTAGGAACACAGCAATGAATGAGGCAGAAAAGACTCTACCTTAAGAAAGCTTATATTATGGAAGAATAAATATAGAATAAATAAAGTAATCCATAATATAAGGTAAGGTAGTGAGAGGTGATATGAAGAAAATCAAGTTGATCTGAAGATTATATTAATAATGTCTTTTATTTTCTGCATATCTTCACATCTGAGGATTTCTGACCCTGGAGTGATTGTCCTTCCTAGGGCTAGCCAGTTCCCAGCAGTATAAACAGCTTTTGGAAAGTGTGCTTTTACACGCACACTAAACAGTGAGAGGCTCACCCTCCAGTCCGTTCTATGTGGGTTCTCACTCTGGACCATTATCCGCCTGCCCTAATCAGCTCAGGGTCAGGTACCAGGCAGTTAGGAACAGCCCTTGTGCCCCAGAGATGCTGAAATTATCCAAAGTAGGCAACCCTGAGTCTGCTCACCCTGTCTCAGCTGCTCCTTGCTGAGAAAACCACAGCGAAGGCGTTTGCCCACAGTCCCCCAAGCCGTTCCCTTGGTTTCCTGACCAACCCCGGGGCCTCTCCACGTGCCGGCCCACCGCCTCGGGGCATGCCGTCTCATGGGACCTACGAGCGAGCTCTCTCCCTGGTGATTGTCTCCTGCTCTGCCGGCCTCTCTCTCACCTCAGTGCACCGTATTTTAGAGTGAGATCAAAGGTCAGCGGGGCTCTATTTAGATGAGGCGGTCCGTGAAGGAGTGACGCTTGCAAAACCGGAGCCCGAGGAATGAACTGCGCTAGCGCGGGCAACAGCCGCAGCCGCGGAGGCGAAGGTCTGGAGGCAGAGGCACGGGTGTCTCGGGAGAAGCGAGGCCAGTGTGACGGGAGCGCCGCGGGCGAGGGAGAGGCGGGCAGCCGGGGCAGGGCGGCACGGGGCTCTGCGCGCCTCGGGAAGGCTGCTGACGGCGCGTGCGGGCAGGGCGAGAGGCAAACGGAGCTCCTCGCTGGGACGGGCGCGCTCAGACACGCTTTACAAAGACGCCGCGTGACTCCCCGGTCCCGGGGCTAAGCCCGCACTGCCGATGCAGCGGGAGCGCAGATCCAGTCCCCGGTCAGGGAACAGAACCCCACTGCCACAGCCAAGGGTTGGCACCGCCAGGTAAATACCTGAACGTGAAAAATAAAACGGCTTCTGCTGATGCTGCTTAGAGAACAAACCGTGAGGGGAAAGAGTGGATGCTAGGAGATCAAGAGGTCAGGAATTGTGAACTAGGGGACTAGCTATTGCGGGGGACACATTGGGAATGGAGAATCAAGAGACTCGATAGGATTTGCAGTGAGCTGGATTTTCTGTGTGAGAGAAGGTGAAAGTCTTGATCGTAGGGTCTAGTGATGACATTTGCTGAAATAAGGAACACTGGAAATGGAGCAAGGTAAAATCAACAAGCCAGTTCGGGGCATCAAGTGTGTGGTGTCTGCTCAGCATCTAAATAAATAATAAGCATTTGTGTATGTATATCGCTGGTATCCCAAGAAATGGCAGGGGCTAGTGACGTAAATTTTGGATTCATTTATATCACTATGTAAATGAATGAGTATATAGATAGTATTTAAAGCCACTGAGATGGATGAGATCAACTCACAACAGTATATTCTGCTTATAGGCCCAGAACCAGAAATGAAAGTAAATATCACAATGAGTTTAGACTTTGAAACTATGATGTAGAAAATGTTTCAAACATCATAAGGAATAAAGAAAATAAAGTCCTATGAGATTTTAGGGCTTCCCTCATAGCTCAGTTGGTAAAGAATCCGCCTGCAATGCAAGAGACCTTTGACTGCTGGGTCAGGAAGATCAGCTGGACAAAATCCTGGAGAAGGCGCAGGCTCTGCACCCCAGGATTCCTGGGCTTCCTCAGTGGCTCAGTTGGTAAAGAGTCTGCCTGCAGGGTGGGAGACCTGGGTTTGACCCCTGGGCTGGGAAGATCCCCTGGAGAAGGGAAAGGCTTCCCACTCCAGTATTTTGGCCTGGAGAATTCCATGACTCTCTAGTCCATGGGGTTCCAAAGAATCAGACACCACCGAGCAACTTTCACTACACTTTCTTTCTTTCATAGGTAATTAGCAAATGGTAAAAGTTTTTAGAAGACTTTACTTAAATCTTCTGTAGACTTATTGGTAGATTTATTGGTAGCTTTCGATTTATTTATCTCCTTGTTGAAGTATAGATTTATTGAAGGGGGAGGATAGGAAATAGGATAGTGATTTTTTTTTTCTCCTTCTATTACAGGTTTATAGTTTTCACACCATCACTTGAAGGCTTATTTATTTGTTTACTTCAAATTCTTAACCTGGCTTACTACTCTTCCCTTCCTCCTCCTCCCATTTAAAATGTCTCCCATTTGGCAGAATGTTAGGCAGCAGTGCTCATGATGATAAACCACAGAGCAATAGCAATTCCATTGGTCTTTGTGGATTAACATGATAACGCGTCAATGATGAGCCCTGACTAATTTTCTTAAAAATGCACTGCTAGCATCAACACCAATGAGTCCTGTGGGGCTATTACCATTTGCCTGTGTCTTTGCTTGACTGAGGCAAATATCCAGAGTACAGTATGCTGAGTTCAAGTTATATCTGCATCCCTTTCTTGATCTATTCTTCTAGCTCTTGATAAAGTCTCAATACAAAAATTATAAAAATGTTCAACACACAAACAAATATGAAATACTTTTTCTAATTTGTATTATATATCTGAGTATGTGATTTTTTTTCATGTATCTACTACCTACCTCATCACTTAGCTACATTTCCCTCTATCTAATGTCAATAATAATGAAAAGATTATATATAGATATCTATTTTTAGAGATAAAATTTTTGAAGACCTTGAACATAGGTAGAAAAATGAGAGCGACTTCTTTTATATCATGAAATTTTCTCCAGGGCTAATAACTGACAGGAACAATGAGAGTGGGGACATGCTAAGTTGAGGAAATATATTTACCAAAACTGCATCAGGCTGTGAGCAAATTATGTATAAACTGAACAGAAAGTCAGAGCCAGAGAAGGAAATCTGGAAGGTTAAAGCAAATTGACAACCCAAGACACAAAGTGGGTAGCTATGTGAAATAAAATAGTTTTGGGACTTCCCTGGCAGTCCAGTGGTTAAGACTCTGCCCTTCCAATTTAGGAGGCACAGGTTTGACCCTCGGTGTGTAACAGAGATGCCCCAAGGCATGCCACGTGCCCCCCAGCCCTTGCGAAAAAAAGAGAAACACCCAACAACCAAACAACAACAACAACAAAAAACTTGATGACCAAGGAACATTCAACAGCTCTAAATACATATCTTTGGTCTTTTTCCATGTGTGAAAGAAATGAAATTTTTTTTTTTTAAAAAGAGAGAAATTGTTTGATAATGGAGAGTACTTAGAAAAGACCTTAAATCCATACATACCACTGAGCAGATAAAACTAATATTCAAGAGAATAAATACCCAATTTTGCTCGCATGTGCATTCACACGTAACGCCTCCTGTAGTTTGTTTGGACACCTGCGCACTCATCGTACTGCCCCAACAGTTTGCTGATTTTGTTCACCTGCTGTTTGTTATGGTTCTTGTTCAGCTGCACCAGCAGTTTAAGTCACACAAATACCTGTTAAAGGGGCCCTCTTGGCACTTTGCTAAGCAGGGTAGCACATCAATATGAACATGGACGAAGTGTCTCCAAGTAACTTTCTTCTTAGAATCCTCTTAAGTCAAGGACTCTTGAGTAGATCCCTTCCTTTGTCATATATCTTCTTGATACATTGTTGTCAGGGAAAGCTGAGACATATTTGAGCTTGAGATGAAGATGCTTAGTTTACCAATGAACTGATTTGGGTGTAGTTGAGGTGAAAATCCTTTCCATCGCCAAAGGTCTTTGCTCTAGCAGAGATATTTTCTCTATTTGTCTGCTAAGGCTTAGTGAGTGAGAAAATCTTACCAAATCAGCAAGGGTGCCTTTTGGTTTTGTTAAGGCAAAGACCCTTTGGTCAGTTTTTAACCAATCTACTGAGTTCTCAGCCTGTTTAATCCATATAAATGCAAGTACAAGGAAACCAATCTGCAGACACTCTCAGTAATGTATATAGCCTACTCACTTACTCTCCCTGATAACTGAACCATAAACGTAGGTTAATTACTAGCCCAATACCGCTAATATATTTTATGCTTGCTTGTTGTAATTGTTGTACCATCAATCTTATTGATTGCTTTTATTATGGTTAACAAGAACCATTATAATTAGTACTGTCCTAGGTGACCCATAACAACTACTCTCTATAGGTACAAACAGAATTTGAATGCATGTGGGGAAGGTCAAAGCCAGTTCATAATTCAACTTGTGAACACTGAGTTCTTGCTAAAGTTTTCCTCTTATGGGTGATTTAGGATTTCTATTAGAAAGGTGTGGGCCTCAGAACAGCAGAACCTGAACATAGATCTTAGAGACAAAAATTCACACACGGGAGAACTCTAAACAGAAGTGTTATGTGCTGATCAATATTTTGTCTAACGTTGTTGTGTAAAAACATAAAATATGTTCTATCCTGGGCAGATTTATCAGTCTTCCCCAGTTCTAATGCTAAATGTAAACTTGCTATATCAGTTTGCTAGCACTGCTGTAACAAAACACTTCACAGTGGTTGAATTAAGCACCCAGAAAATTATTTTCTCAGAAATATGAAGTCTGGACACGTTGCTGGGAAGAGGAGTTTTTCTGAGGACTGTGTGGAAGGGATCTGCTCTAAGCCTCTCCCCTTGGCCTGCAGTGGGTTGTCTACTTCTGTGTCTTGACATTCACTATACATGTCTGTGCCCTAATGTCTTCTTTTAAGGGCTTCCCTAGTAGCTCAGCTGGTAACGAATCTGCTGCAATGTGGGAGACCCGGGGTCGATCTCTGGGTTGGGAAGATCCGCTGGAGAAGGGAATGGCAACCCATTCCAGTATTCTTGCCTGGAGAAGTCTATGGACAGAAGAGCCTGGCAGGCTACAGTCCATGGGGTCACAAAGAGTCAGACACGACCAACATTGTCTACACTTGTCTGTGCCCTAATTTCATGGGTAAGATTGGTTTGGAATCTACTCAGATGATCCCATTTTAACTTAATTACCTCTGTAAAACCCTTATCTCCAAACATTGTCACAATCTGTGTGGTACATAATTCAGCCCATAATACCAATTTTCTTGGTAATATTTTTTAAAAAAATCTCCTACAGCTCACATCCCTGTATCAGACATAGTGTTTGTATACAATGTATATAAGCCAAATACATTTTAAAAGGTGTATTATACTTTTTAATGAGGTCAGAGTTCCCAAGCTATTGCAAAGCAATTCGAGGGCCCTGTTATTATAGGTTGGACACAGGTTTTTTTTTATTCAACAACTTCTTAGTGAGCACCAGCTATGTACCATGTATACTTCTAGGCTTGGTGGATACATAAATTAATAAAACAGGTAAAACCCACTGCTGTTAGAGAAGTTACGTTCTCTCTGGGAAACACAGACAAAATAGACAAAAATAGTAGACACAATAAACAAGTAAACTTTATTGTAGGTTAGAAAGTGCTAAGTGATATGGAAAACAACAGAGCAGGCTAAGTGGGAATAAGAGGTGATGGGTGTCTAGCGTTGATGAAAATGAAAATGGGACAATCTCAGTGGGCCTAACTGGGAGGCTGGCATTTGAGTCAGTGTGTGGAGAGGAAGGGTAGAATATACAAATATCTAGGGAATGAGCTTTCTAAGTGAAGACCCTGGTTTCCACTATTGTTAACCAAACATTCCCATTTACTGGACTTTGCTGGCATTAACTTTTACTGGAAATGGAGATTTCACACGGATCCCCACAAAATACATGACTATCTGAATCCTCACCATCAGCCATCCCTAACTATAGGAAGACAATTACCTCATCCAACAAGCTGCATGCTACACTCACTGTTTAAAAATGTCCCACCTTAGATAAAATAATCTAGTCTTCTAAAACCCTCTTGATGTCTGCAAGAAGTTAACAGCACACTC